ATATTTTTTACTTAACTTTTTATGATACAAGTTTATATCCATTTTTCTTTCCTTACCAATCGCTATTTGTAGAAGCGTATTCACAATTTTACCAGGAGGTTTTGGCCGCGCAAGTGCTTTTATTTTTATCTTTCTCATTTGTTTTTTCGGTAAATAGTCAATTAGTCCAGGATTTTAATTTGGTTCCACATTTTTTCTTCTGCACAATTGAATCCCTAAACTTGATTGGAAAAATTGGATTACGATTCTTTTGTGCTCATTCTAATTGATTGTATATTTAGTTTGGAAAAAATGAAGTAGAGAGAAACTCCGTCCAATTAAATTAAGACATTAACCTTTACATAAAATTTTAAACTTTTGATTTCTCATACCGAATTAACTCAAAATGAAGGATTAATTTTATTAGAAAACTTACTTAAAAAGTTGGTAACTCCATAATTTAATTTTGTTAGAATTGTTAACTCCATTTGTCTAGTAAGAAATTGACACTGAGAAGAGAAGAAAGTTGCCAAGGAAAGTTGGGAGAGAACATCTGTTTTTTTCTTCTAAAAAATATAAGACAAGACTGAAAAATAAGATAAAAATGCGAACTTTAACCTACATTGAGGTATGCAAATACAAAGAATAACCCTGGAATTTCTTGAATAAAGGGGGAAACTACTATTTTCCGAGCAAACATAAGCACAAGGCACAAAGCAATGCAAAATGAACTCAATAGACGCTGGGAGATTTAAGTGAACACGATCAATCAATCAATTCAATCCATCGACCCATAAACCCTGAATGTAATTTCCAGAGCAGTATGCAACAAAAAATGGTTTTGCCCACCACCTCCACCCTCGAAGCTTCCATTATTCCACCTCTCAACCCCAATGCAATCACTAAATAGTTGGGAAGAGTACAAGTCTGTTGTCTAGATCTTGTCTCATCATTGATCATCAAACCTCATTGAAAACCACACATCATAATCTAACAAAGAAGAAAAGTATCCTTACAGGTTTTATTGGCTAATTTGCTTACTGGAATTAGACATAAGAAAAATGATGCAACATCTCTTTAGACACAAGTAATAGAACTATCTTCCTGTAACAGTACAAAGCATGAGCAAAAACAAAGTGTTTGTCCTCATCAAAATCACCTAGTGATTCTGTAGCCCTGCATGATTTAAAAGATAATAAGGTTGTAAGTTCTATCTATGGCATAGGAACAAAAGAAGGAAGATCTACCAAAATATCCTGCAAGGTGAATTGCATTGCCTAGCCTTTTTTAAGAACATAAAAAGAAGAATTAGTATTAATACCTTCACCCGTTTGAGCAGATCCTTAGCATTAGCATTGTTGTTGAAATGATCACGCACAGGCTGCAATAGTGAATGAGAAAAAGATTAGCTTAAACATAAATAAAAGAAAAGGAAACAAGACCCTGCTACACTTGTATGTAATCCTCACATATAACTCCAACAAAATAATAGCACAAATAAGCTGGACATCAACTTAATAGGAAAAACTTGATTTTAAGATGCATAACCAACAACCTTATTGCACCGTAACAGTTAATCAAATGTTTGTCAAAATTTGAAGCACTTTTTTTTTTCCCCTGGAAAGGGGAGGTCGAGGAAAACCACACTTACCTGCAGTATCTTATTCAATGCTTTTGCAAGAGCCGGCTTCAAGTCACCAGGATGCAAATCCCCATTTTCATAGTCAGAAACAAGGTCTTCAAAGCTTTGGAAGATTCTGAATTATAGTAAACTTACATAAATAACGTGTCAAAGTCTACAGTCATTGTACTAGTAATTTTTAAAGAAATAATTACTAAGGAGAGAAAAATGAGTTTCTGAGTTTGTGTGAGAAGGCAAAGCATTCGTTGTGCAAACTACCCCAAATATTCTTAATTAAAGATGTAAATACAAGAGAAGAAAGGTAATGCTATACTTGTCACCACCATTGTCTGCACTACGCTCCACTTTGAACTCATTAAACCAAGGAAAGATAATGTACTTAATGTACTCAAGGCATGGATTTCCTTCAACTGTTTTGGGGGGGCAGTATGCTTTTTTTATTTTCACATTTACTTCAGCCTATTACATCAAGAAAAGGAAGCATTAGCACAATGGTACTGATATGCCTCTAGTAGATTTAGATCAGTAAGAAATTATTTTACAGCATTTTGATACAAAAACATCCCCATAATTAACCCCTTTGCATGTAACCAAAAATTACCTCCTCATCTTCCATAAAGATAGAAGATGATGGATCACTCTTTGACATTTTTTCCTGCCCTTGCTGTAAGCCAGGTAGCATATCTGTGAATGTCATGGTAACCAAGTGCAACTAAGACAAAGGAAACAAATAAGAGAAACTCAAAATATAACTAGAAAGATGCTAAGTAGGAACATACGATGCGACAAAATGATTGGTTTGTTTTTCCTTTTAATGTCATCACAATATTCTCTTGCAAGGACATTGACTTTCCGCTGATCCATGCCCAATTGACAAATGTCAGCCTGTTGAAAGGCAAAGCAGCAGCACTATTAGATAATGAGCATCATATAAAAATATGTGATTAACATTACAAACTATTAACAAGCCTGCAAAATAGATACACAGGCAAGGTAAACTTAATAAAGAAGATAACTCAAGCTTGAATGCTAAAGCAGGGTGGGATAAATAGTAAACACGCTGATGATTGCAACAGATGCTATCTAAACTGATCAATTTTCCCAGGTTATCCATTTCTCTTTATGTTCTGTATTCACATCATTAGATATGCTAACATATAAACACCTAACTAGTACATTATCTAATGCCAATGTCAAATTCAGATTTTTGTTAATTAGTTTTTCTTTTTTTAAAAAAAAAAAATTCAATATATAAAAAGAATTATAGTATCATTGAAGTGTCCCAGAAATATCTATAGAGCAACTAATAAAATAATCAGAAAAAAGATAATATGCCTATGATGAGAAAAACAGAAAATGGGGGATAACCATTCTTGAATTTTTTTTTTTTTTTTAAAAGGTAAATAGGCAAGGTCTGAAAGCAGCAGGCCATATAAAATGATAGTTATTTATAGAGAAAAACATCACACAATGAGAAAATAATGACAATGGAGAACAAATGTGCATTGAAGTGCAGCTGTTTGCAAAATTTTTTCACCACTTGGGAGGGAGAACAATTTGCAAAGTCTCGGTTATTGTTACTTTTCCAATTTTCCATACCAATCAATGCCATATTCTTTCCTACAAGGTTGGTAATCAGAAAGATCTGAAAGTAAGCAGCTTAAGTACCTTAAGGAAAAATATGTCTGCACATTGCATGCATGGATAGAGAATCTGAGCTGCTGTCAGCTCTTCTTGCTCACTGCGGCCCATAATTTGACAACACCTGGAAAAACACTTCATTGCTGAGAATCAGCATTCATTCATACATGACTATTTACAGAGATAAGGCAGAAAATCAAAGTTTTACTCTTGCACCTCATTATCCTAGGAAGCTTGTTTCTGCGGGCTATATCCATTACGAGGGGCCAGTACTCAGATGCCCTGGAGTTAATTTCTTCTGAAGACCATAGAAATTCTACTTTCTCTAGATTCATCCCAACAGCTTTCCATATCTCAATCAAATAAGCTCCTACTGTTTTGATTTTCTTTAAATCACCCCCCATTTTATTGTTTAATTGTGCAAACCAATCGGCAATCCAAATTTTCACCCTGCATCCAGCTGAGGTCAATTTGTTAACATTTATTGTCTTCATAACTCCCTGTTCACAGATAAATGAAAATGATTCCGTTAGAGGGGGATGGCATCCATTACAAACAAAAAGGAAACTGACAATAATTTATTAAAAAAAGAAAAATGCAATTCCTTAAACATCTAAACAAATATTGGTGAAGAAGCAAACTTGAAGAAAAGAGCACCATAAATCAATAGTTTAACTTAGCTTAAATCCACCTTAAACACTTAACACTATAAAATTTCTCCTTTATTCACTTCTAATCTCCTAAACAAAAATGTTGAAAGAATAAAGAACTCTCAACATCTAAAAGTACCTAAATTCCAATTAAGTTTTGGTCCCAAACTTGGAGCTGGCAACATGAGCCGTTTTCCTCCACATAGGCGAGATTAAAGATAATATTCACATCAAGATCTAGGAAGATCAGATCCTTTCATATTACCTCAACCTCAACTAGCGTCATCTTTGCCCTACCTCTACCTCTCTCCATTCTTAATGTCTAAACCAAATTATGACTGTTGTGTTGCATAGCATCCATGGACCAAGGATATGACCAAAACATCAAATCCATCCTTCTCTTAGTTTGTCCTTAATAGATGCTACTACTACCCTTAATTTCTTACAAATTACTTACAAACAATTGGGATAGCCACTAAGATGCATTTTCCCACTGACTACAATAGTTTTGGATTACAAAAAGCTGTCAACTCAACCACAGTAAGATGTATTTGAAATACATGAAGCTACTCTTTGGAGCTTTTGCAAGAAGCATTTAAGGTTTTTACTAAATCTTTTATAAACCCAAAAATGCCCCCTTAATGACTACAACGAATACATGTAACCATTTAAAAAACTATCAGTTGCATATTCAATACAGAAAGTTGACTGTATGGCTACTATGCAAAACTTCCTATAAACTTACCTTAGTAAACATCTTAATGAAATAAATAGAGGTTGAACTAATAAATGGATATCATCGAGAATATCTTTTCTGTGTTAACAGCTTCCTAACTATTTGTCATTGTAGGCAGCAATCAGATTATACAAAACCAAGCAGCCAAGCACCAAAATGTGAAGACTAAGCAGTGTACCAAGTAACAATTATCTCATTCTACATCCAAATTACGGCTGAATAATAATAGAACAATATTAACCACAACAACAGCTAGCTTAAGCATAGATTCATCTTATAAATTATAGAAAACCATGCAAATCAAACAACTAAATTCAATGAGAAAGTGGGCAGCTTAAAATGGATCTAGAATCTGAGAAATGAAGACCTGAGCAATGTGCATTCTCCCTGATGGCTCAAACCCATCGTAGCAAATGGGTTCAGGCTTGTGGGCGAGAAGATTAAACAGCTCATCCTCTTGGATACACTCCTCCCCTACGCTCCGCACGATCAGAAACTTTTCCTCCGTACTCATCCTGATTCAACAGTTCAATTACACAACCCCAAAAATTCACATAGCCGCCGTTTGTTTTCATCACCGGCAGCCAAAAATATGAAAAAAAAAAAAACCCTTTGTCAATAGAAACGGAAAACAGCTTACGGAGGAGTGGAGTCAGAGGAGGACGATTGGTCCTGTGAGTTGACGGAGAGAGACTGCATCTGGTTTGACGGCGGAGTTTGATCCAGCGATTGGTCCTCCATTGAGATGTGCAAGGAGGCGCTGCCAAATTAAGAAATGGAGATCTATGGGAAGCTAAACCCTACACAACTTTCAAACAAGAAGTTCAAAAAAGTCCCATATCTTTTTTAATTAACAAGCAGCCCTCCATCAGTCACAATATGAAAGGACTTTTGCCCGCGATTTTCAATTGGGCCTAAGGATGAACTCTTGGTTTTGTACATAGGGATCCTATTCAAAATAGCCCATTGGAAGCCAATAGTTTAGCACATATTACCTTTATCCCTTGTAAAATTATCATAACTAGACAAAGTCAAAAATATCAAATGAATGTTCAAGCTTGAGCTTTAGATTTACGTGAACCTTAAAACTTTGAATTTATTTAGGGGGTGTTGGGATTAATGGTTTAAATGAAATTGATAATTGATACATAATATTTAATAATTGATAATTATTGTTATTTATAATTTAAAATATTTAATTCATTATCTTGAAACTCATGATTGATAGCTGTTTTTGAAATGGTAATTCAAACACTCCCTTAAATTGTTTAATAATAGTTGGTAGGTTAACCCGTATATGCCATTAAAAATCAAACACTACAATTCCATAAGTAAAATTACAAGTAAAAGTAATCAAAATGTAGAATTGGTAAGGTTTATAATGGAGTGAGTCTATTTTCATGTTAATTTTGATAAAAAAAAATACAAACCCGCATTTATATTTTTAAATTTAAAATAAATTATCTTTATCTAAAATTAATATGAAATAAAACTCACCCTTTATAATATAAGAATTCACCACAAAATTACATAATTAATTATATGTTCTAATGCGATAACTTATAAAGTTATTTTTAAGTACATGTATAATGAATAGCTAACAAAAATGGGAAAAGAAATTGAGTTTGAGACGTGAGCATGTGAAAGAGACCGACATTATTTGGATACGGCCTTCCTCATTTAATTCAGCATATGCCATAAAAGAAAAGTTTGCTGCAACCATCCATCTTATACCATCTAACATATCTTGAGACTTGAGGTCATGGTTTATGCAGGGCAGTCAAATTGGCAGCACATTTCTTCGTATAAAAATCAGTAGGTCACATCAGAATTGATGTGCAATCATGCATACAGACACATACCCTGTCAATGAGCTGTTTAGCGTCCCAATCCCAAATTATTGGCGAGAGTACCATGAATCATCTCTTTCTTTTTCGTTTCCAAACCGCTAAGTTGTCACTACAAAAGTAGTTGATAAGACCTACCAATGAATTAAGCAGTGTAGTCGACGGTGTGGTTATTTTCAGGTATAAAAATATTGAGGCAACAAGATTTCAGTTTTTTTTAATAGTTAATTATAATATTTAAAAATATTAATTTTATAGAAATAATTATTAATTATTAATTAACTATTTTAAACAATTAAATTATATAAAATTATTATTTAAAAAAATATATTATGAGGTTTGTGTGGCATTACCATGGTTGTTGTTGACTACCCTCCCAATAATTGTTGGTACCACTAGGCTTGTGTTCGAGCCTAATTCCCAATCTTTTTCCCCTAACTAAATCTTCTCTTGAACAAAGAAAAACGCGAGAACGGGAGAGAAATAGTAAAAAAAAGTTTTATTGATTTTAGATAGAATATACCTTAAACATTCATCCAAGATGATTTAATGTCTTGCATAAAGACAAAGCAATTAAATATGTTTTCTCCTAGTTAAATATGTAATATTCTCTTTACCTAAAGAAAAATGTGACGGTAAAGTGGAGAGTTAAAATTAAAATGAGAAAAAAAAAAGAGAGAAGAAATTTCTCTACCTTAAATTAAAAAAATAATAATAATCATTCTAACCATTTTTTAGCAACCTTCTTCAATATTTGGTTTGGTGGATGGAACCTTGACCTCCTTCCCAAAGCTACAACTAATCAACCTGCAGAAGTATTAATCCAAATGGGACCCAACACTATTAGCATAGTAGGCAAATTCATGATACACAAGATCTTTCTTTATTTTATAACTAATGCAGTTTAATGCATGAATTTCCCGGGCCCATGAAATCAACCATAATTAAAAGACTATATTGATTTTGGAATTGAGAGTACATTGAACCACTAAATTCATAGGAAGGTGTTACAAGAATAATTTTTTTATATTATTTTTTGATATAATTTTTACATATAATTAAATGAGTAGATATATTAAATATTATG